GGCAAGCGCTATGCCGTAAGTAATCCATTTACCCTGTAGTTTCGATCAGAGTCTAACACGTCCCAGCGTAACGATGAGCTTGGTACACCTCTCGGCATCACCGTCGACTTCCAGTCCATCAAGGACAACACATTCACACTCAGAGACCGAGACACTACTGGCCAAGTGCGCGCAAGCCTAGAGGAGATTGCCCAGGCCGTTGCGAACATCGTGAGGGGTGAAGAGAGCTGGTCAGATGTTGCCGCACGGTTACCCAAGTTTGAGGGCCAAGAGGTCGACTGATTGTATAGAGCATGTCTGTAGAAGAACTGCGTCCTAATGAGAAACGTAGCCTATGTATTAGAATTGACGTCACATTGACATTGAATCGGAAAACTCCAGCGTATTCCGCCTGCCAATGTTGTCGCTCGCTCCTTCCGTGTATCACACCGTGATGTGTAATTCGCCTGCGCCGCAACTGTGCGTTCAGTACTTTAGCACACCGCACTTCGCGCCACCTTTCAGTCTCACCTTTTTCTTCACAGACAACTCTCCTGCTTACTTTGGCCCGCTATGTAAAACTCCTAACCTCGGGCACATGGACGCGGCACGGATGCGCATCAGAAAGAGTAGGGGGCCTGCAAATCAGCCTCACTCTGGTTGCACCTCCCGGGATCCGGGTTGTCCGGCACCTTTCCCGTATACTGCAGGATCGACCGACCGACTTCACAGCTGGAATGCTCCTCGATAGGCTGGTCGGTCATTGCTGTCTATCACTTGCTGTGTATGGTTTTTGATGGAGACAAAAGATAGATTACTCCTACCAGCACCAGCAGCTTGATACCCCGGCATCCCTGGTCGCCAACCCGTCGATTCTCTGGTTCGTACATCGGGCGAAATCCGCTGCATCTGCTAGGATCAAACGTGACCAGCAATGACTCGTCCGCGTCGAGCTTACTCCTCTGCGTGCTAGGTGAGAAAAGTCTCCGAGGAGGATGGTGTGAGACGAAGCAAAGCAAAAGGCCTCGAAGCAAATGTGCCCTACACATTGTTCAAAAAGCTACAAGATGGTGCATTCACTCCCGGCAGTCCGGTTGACGATCTACTGGATCCGCTCCGCTGGCGCCGGTAGCATGGCCGCACCGTCAAAAAGCCCGGCGCCAAAAGTCTGTGCCTAGAGCCCAGCTGAGACGTCTAGGACTCTGCTCTCCGCGGTAGTATCAGCAAGAGGCTGCTTCATTTTGGTTCTGGACTTGTGCTACGACCTTTTGTGACATGCTGCAAGCCGGCAGCAGGGTCTGGGTTCTTACGCGCTAATACCTGCGAACACGTAGCACGAACCGGAGATTGCGTTGTAACATAGCGATGGACGCATTCATGTCGCCAACGGGTTGACTCAGTATCAGCGCATCCCTTCGTCAATCATTCCGCCCGAAGGTCAAACATAGATAGCCTGCTGTCTAAAGCTGGGTTGGTAATTCGTCCGTGTCATAGCCAACATTGTTAGAAGTCAGCCGGCAGCTGAGCCTGCGTACCGTTCGTGTGGCTGTTCAGAGTCTTATGAGCATAGGTCGAGGCCTAATTCTTAGCAACCAGAGGTATTGGCGGTCCTGACCACCTCTTACTAACGTGCTGCAACACGTCTACGTCGGTCGCCCGCGTACCATCAACTATCGCGTCAGTCACCCACATAGCGCGATTTCCTCTACCGCCTGCAGATCTTCTCGCCGTAAGTCGCCCGTTTCCGTTTACGGTCCAGCACATGTAGACCGTATACGCAGTACCCACGCGCCCCCAGCATCAAGCGACCATCGCTTAGCATGCAGAACCTCAGCTTTTAGCACCCGTTTGCTAGGGTACTACGGATGCAGCACATACCCAAGAGACGAATGATTTCTACTTCTTCCGTCTACCTATCATTCTTGTCTTATTTGTTTAACGAGAACTGTCAGATCTTTTGCATCGGCTTTCCGAGACCATGGACAAGGGACAGCCACCACCCGGCGACGTGGTTGCCCCTCTCACAGGCGCTCCACTCAAACGCCGACGGGCTGACTCGGAGAGTATCTCGTCGATCGAGTCTAAGTACGTTGCTATCTTCTGTTCTTGCAGTTATTTGCCACTCTGCGTTGTGACGTGGTCGTTGGGGCACCTGGGTAGATCCACTCGGCAGTCTCCAAGGATCAACAACGATTGCTGTAGCCTTACCGGTGATCACCCACCAAATACCATCGCACGGTGTACAAAGCTGACGCTTATGTCGACAGTCGCTCTGTCCGCACATTAGCTTCCGATGATCTAGAATATTTCCATGAAAATGGACGAACGTACGGCAATGAAACGTACTACCTACCATGCGTATACAAGCAGCATAACGACTTCGTAGAGCAGGATCGTCTGTCGCTACAGCATGAAATCTTCGTCCGAGCACTTCATGGCAAGCTTACCACTGCGAAATTATTGCCTACTACCCGAAGAATACTCGACTTGGGCACTGGACCAGGTCACTGGGCTGTTGCCATGGCGCGTCAATACCCGCACGCGGAGGTTGTCGGAATTGACATGACGGAATGGGATATAGACACCACCGAAGCCACGTTGGGCGATGCCAGGGTGACATGGGAGCTGGACGACCTTGACGTCTGGGGAAAAGAGATGGATGTCGACCAGCTGATCAACCAGCTCGCTACTCTAGATCTAGCCAATGAATTGGCTAATCGGACTCCCATTGACGCGCTGAGGAAGCCCAAGTCAACGGTCGATCTCAGTCAGCAAGGAAGGGAGCCTACGCCCGAGGAGCATTTGACTATTGATCTCTCAACACTTACCCCTCAGCCTGAACCTGGCTGGCACTTTAGCGACTCCTTTGAGCTCATACACCTACGAAACATGAAGGGCTCTTTTACGCACTGGGAAGACGTATATGCCGAGATCTACAAGAGCCTTTCACCCGGGGGATGTATCGAACTCGCAGATTGGGATCTCGGCCAAGTGCCCATGGGCCCAGGGGAGATCACAGCAGCAAACATACCCATGCCTACCCTACGGAAACTCTACGTGGCGTTCATGGAAGCATCGTTTAAATCTGGCCGTCCACTCGGCCTCTTCTACATGCACCACACCTATCTCGAAGAAGCAGGCTTCGAAGACGTCCAAACGACCCAAGTCAACGTGCCGGTCGGACAATGGCCAAAAGACGAAGCGCAGCGATCGCTTGGCAAGATGATGTTTGTGCTTGGTATGGAGATGTTTGAACCGGTTTGCTTGAGGCTCTTGACGCAGTGGGGAAGTAAGACGAGGGTTTGGACGGCGGACGAGCTGAGAGCTGATATCTTGGTCGCGCAACAAGAGATACATGATTATGTTGAGCGGTCAGAACGAGGGGAGGTGGAGGGGTGGTGTGCAAGCTTCAAGTGGGTTACCGCTAGGAAAAGCTGGCACGCGGAGAAGTGACCTCGGGAGTGCTCGGCTGATGTATTTGTTGATACTGGCATTTTAAGGAAGGTGGTATTGTGGATTGAGTATCGGCATTATGAGGCACGACTACTTTGCAGAAAACATCTCCGCTATAATGCGCATGGATTGATACCGCGCTTGCCCGTACCTCACCGACACAATGAGCTTTCACTATACAGAATCCGTCCTTGAAGTTTTGAGTTTGCATCGATGAACTGCCAAGGAAGATGGAAAGGGAAGTCACCACCCATCATTCCAACCGAGCACGGCAAGCACGCTGGTCGTACAGAAATCATCATGTTCGGAAGGTGGAGCCGTAGCAATGGCATATATTAACGTGACGACGCTGTAAGTCCGCATTTGCAAAGCTTTCTACCCTTAAACGTCCAAAGATGTCTACAAACCTCTCAGCCAACGAGCTCTTCAACGTCAACGGCATGGTAGCCGTCATCACAGGAGGCGGAACTGGTAGCCCACCCACATACCAGACCCAACAGCACTCCTCTAACAACGCCAGGCATTGGATTGATGATGGCCAAAGCCCTAGCAGCCAACGGCGCCCACCGCATCTACATCGTAGGCCGCCGTCCAGACGTCCTCCACTCGGCCGCCAAAAGCATCAACCCAGAAACCGTCATTCCGCTACCCGGCGACGTCACCTCACGCGAGTCTCTTCTCTCAATCGCAAAGCACGTCGAGACCGAAACAGGCTACATCGACCTCCTAATCTGCAACGCAGGCATCATGGGCCCTAAGCCGCTGAAAGCAGCACCAGGATGCGCCGCGCCGTCAGTCGCAGAGTACGCAGCACACGCGCTCGAGACGCCCATGGCCGACTTTACCAACACGTATGCGGTGAACAACACGGCGGTATATTATACGGCGCTGTCCTTCCTCACGCTCCTCGACGCGGGAAACAGCAGGAAAACCGCGCATGCTGATGTCCGTTCTCAAATTATAACGACATCGAGTATCGGCGGTTTCTCGCGTTTACCCGGCGCGTCGTTCGCTTACAACAGCAGTAAAGCGGCTGTTACGCATATGACTAAGATGCTGGCCACGGCGTTTGTGCCTTACGGTATCCGTTGTAATGTACTTGCACCGGGCATTTTCCCGTCAGAGCTCGCGATGGGCATTATTGGGTCGTTGGAGAAGGGACCCAATGGGGAGGTGGATAGGAGTGTTGTACCGGAGGGCAAGACGGGCAAGGAGGAGGATATTGCGGGCGCGGTGTTGTGGATGGCGGGAAGGGCTGGGGGGTATTTGAATGGGAGTGTGGTTGTGGTTGATGGGGGGAGGCTGGGTATGTTGGCTTCTACGTATTGATGTTGTTAGCAGGAAGATATTGAGATGGGATCGTTTGCGTCTTGCATAGTCATTGTGGAATGTGAGATGGATATAGTCTAGGGATGGTGTATGGTGTTTCCATCAGGCGTGTACCCTGAGTGACGCAAGCCGCCCCCACTAGCTAGCGCGTTTCTCACTGCATTTGCGGAGTTGAAGACACACCTCCGAAGACGCTTGCTACACCTCGACTACCATGCGCGCGTGCTGACCACGCGACCATGCCTGCTCCAACACACAGGCTCAATTCCAATGAGCTGTTGAATTCGCCTGGTTTCCTAGGCGCGGCCGCGCGCTTCTGGCAGGTGAGCGAATTCACAATGAGGCGTGGTTTACGCATGGACAGAGATAGCTAACACACATCTGCAGCGCTCGTATGCCTCGGATTATGTTGGCATTGCCATCTTAGTATGCGGGTACATACTGGTGCGTAATCACAATACCAGAGTGACCCCTCTCGGTTTCAACAAGAAAGCAAGACTGACAAACTAGGCACAGATACAATTCCTCGCCGAACCCTTCCACCGCATGTTCTTCCTCGACAACCTCGCCATCAACTACCCCCACGCAGAACACGAACGCGTCCCCGTCTCCTGGCTCTTCATCTACGCCGGCGCCGTGCCCCTCGCCGTCCTCATCGCCTGGGCCCTTGTCCTGCGCCCTGGAACGCACAAAGCGCACGTTACAATTCTCGGCTGGTTCATCAGCATGATCCTCACCATGTTCATCACCGACGTGATCAAGAACGCCGTCGGTCGTCCCCGCCCCGATCTCATCGCTCGATGCAAACCCGCTCCTGGCACGCCCGCACACCAGCTCGTCACCTTTGACGTCTGCACCGAGACAGATCATCACGTTTTACACGACGGGTGGCGCAGTTTCCCCAGCGGACATAGCAGTTTCTCCTTCAGCGGCCTCGGCTACCTCGCCCTCTTCATCGCAGGCCAATGCCACGTCTACCGCCCACGCGCCGACCTCGCTCGCGTCCTCCTCGCCCTCGCTCCCCTGCTTGGCGCAGCGCTTATTGCGATTTCGCGTTGTGAAGACTATAGGCATGATGTTTATGATGTTAGTGTGGGGTCGGTGCTGGGTATGGCGGTGGCGCATTATACGTATAGGAGGTATTATCCTGCGCTGAGGAATCGGGGGTGTGCGGAGCCGTTTCCTAATCCTGCGGATGAGAAGGGCTGGGGGAAGGTTAAGGGGGATGAGGAGAGTTTGAGGAATGCGGAGGAGTTTGAACTGAGTGATCTGGAGGAGGGGGATGAGGAGGGGAGGATGTTGAATGGACGGCGGTGAAGACACTTGAATTCACGTTGCACTCATACAAGAAAGAAGCTGAACAGGTCTACAGACTACATTAAGACAAAAGCTTGCAAAGTAGGTGACTCAACGTTAACGTTAACGTAGACTCTAGGGTGTTCAGTTTTTGCCTAGGTTGGTGTGAATGAGAAGTTGTGTTGAGATCTAGAAGGTGGTGTTTCTATCATGTCATGCGCAAAGTTCAGGGCTGCGAGTCTTTCAAGGCTTTTATGTACCATTTAAGGCCCCTGCGCGTGTGTCAAGCTCCGAATTTCGTCCAAAAGCTTTGTCCGTTCAAGCTTATACCGTTGCTTCTGTACATCATCCGCAGCAGATATGCCTCTTCGCTCTATCTGGTCAAGCCGGCGATTCTCTGCTTGATCTAACTCACTGATTAAGGTACACATCTCTTCGGCGCGAGCTTGCGATGCGGTATTACTAATATCTACCGGGGTTGCTATAGCTTATCAGAACGAACATAGTGGTATCAAGGGGAATTCCTTCTTACCTGCATTTGCAGTTCCCGCTGAGAACGCAGTCTTCGAGACTATTGAAGTACACTTGGAGCGGATCGATGTGTATAAATCCTTGGTCCTCTCTCCCATTCTCTCTTTTGCCTTCGCAAGAGAAGCTTCCACGGACCTCAGGTGAATGATGGGACATATACCGGATATGAAACTGGATGCAGCAGATAAAATGGTCGCAAAGCCCCCCTGGAAAATATTCAAGATGTCCGTGGCCTCTTCATCCAGTATCACATCGAATTGGAGGCCCTCCAAAACATGGAATCGGATCATCGTCGACTCTATCTCTGATATCGGGTTTAACTTCCACTTCGATTTCGAACGGGGACACTTTTCCCAATCGTCGGGGTTCAAAACACGGATGTCCAAGTCAGCGAATCCGCTAGTGTATTCGAGTGACCCATCAGCCAGCTCAAGCTCCTCACAACCTTGACTGATTGAGAAACCTCGTTCCCTAGCATACGGGCCACTGATCAAGGCGATCTCCGATCCGGTGTCCGCATACGCAGTTACTTTTCGGCCATCAATGATGCATGCAACTTGATTCGTTGCACTACCTACCGCACACAGACGCAGCGAGCGCTTCCATGTCGGCGGTAAATTTACCATACGTGACGTGTATTTCGTAATGGTCTGTGTAGCTTTCAGGAATGTCATGCCGATGAGTATTGGCGAAGCCAGCTTTTCGAAGACGTTGAAACGGCAGACCATGGAAGCTGCCTCTGGACCCACACGTTTCGCAAACTGAACCGCTACAAAGATTTGACCCACGGCCTTGATGACCTTGCCATTGGGGAGCTGAAAGCCTGCTTTTGTATCGGGACTCGGCTCGATGGTATATCCCAACTCGATTGCTTTGGCACGTGATATGTGGTTATCGTGTGTTCCGGTGTCGTAGCAGGTCATAATCTCTTGTTGTCCACCATGGGCTTCGAGAAGTAGCGGAAGACCTCGGCGGCGCCCTTTCACGTGGTCGCCTTCCGTAGCTACTTCTTCTCTATCAAGTGCCGCAAATAATGCTTTCTTCCCCGCTTCGCGTAGACTTTCTGAAATACGACGATACGATTCCGTTGACGGTGGAAGTGTGCGGTCGTTGCCTTGCTCTGTGATCATGGTTGAGGTAGAGGCTGTGAAGGCATTCGGATATCCGCCGTAGCGTGTCAGATATTGGTTGTAGGCGTTCTCCTCTGGGTACTTCTCAGTTCCCATAAACAGCAGATGTTCCACCGCGTGCGCGATATCGAGTTCATACACTTGGGACAATGTACCCAGCTCTACTCCTGCATTGCCATTCGAGAAGTCATCGCAAGGCATATCATGCGATCCCGCCCCAGCACCCATGCAAACCAAGGCATCCGCCATTTCCTTGGGACTGCCACCACAGTCTGCACCATCTGCTGGAATGTCGGGCGCGATACCATCTAGTTGGCTAGAGGACCTGCTTCCCGCCGTGCACGTATCAGAACCCCAGTCGACTGAGGCTTGATTGGTGCCGGAATCCGGCTCGACTGTTTCGCGATACTGGAGGAATTCATAGTACCAGCTCTGCGTAAGATACACATAAGCACCTGCCTTGTAAGGAATCTGGATCGTACTGCCGCACCTTGTCTGAGGATTCTTTGTAGCCGTCAGGGAGCTCCTTTGACGGGATACAGTAGCCCGATAGCCAGTCTAGTCCCTCGGGATGTGGCTCAGTAGCCATAGGTTCGGCAGTTGACGGAGTTTGTAGAGACAATGACTGTTAATTTGGCGTAAATAGGTAGCAGTATCAGTGGGCGAGTATATAATGTTGAGTGTTGAAACTCGGGAATACGCTTGTGTGTTTGTGTGAACCCCAAAAGTGATGGCACCGCAACCGTGTTTCCAAAACCAAAGCTGCGAATACCGGTATGTGCAAAAATCACAAAGATGCGATGAGGGGATTGCTGCCTGTGGGCGAAAGTGTTGGCTGGCCGACAAGTCGCTTGGCGTATGCAATGCAGGGTTCTTCACCGGTGTGTTACCAGCAAGGCAGACTCAGGCTGTCGTTGTGCCGCGCAACTTTCATCGCCGCAACACTTGACAACACTACGATGCGGACTTCGTGCAATGATACTGCGCGGCCACTGGATGGATATCCCTCACTCGCAGAGGATATCTCGAGTGATCCGGATCGAACGTTTTTGGTTTTCCGGCGATTCGACAGGCTTGCTGTGCGTAACCTGCTTTACCTGCAAAGTGAGCTGGTTGAACTGGAGGCAATGCAAGTACGCACGAAATCGATTCGAACTTTTCATGGCGATCCGCTGATATTGATGCCAACAGGAGCAGTTGGATAGCGAGGATCGAAGCTACGAGAACAATGATCTCGCCGCCGGAAGATGTGCCATGAACTGGGAGGCGTTCAGAAATGCTGCAGATGATCCTGCCAATATTAAACAACGAAATCGAATGGATCTGATGGAAACAATACGGAAAAAGATGAAAGAGTATAGTATTACCTGATGCCAGCCCAGATGCTCAAATGACGTACTGAGAATGTCGAAGGAAAGGCACTGCTATCCGAAAGCCAAATGGCGCAACTTGGACCGCCTCCAATACGCACCCTTGACGCCGTTCGTCATGCCTCAACGCGCTTCAACAAGGTTACAAATCATCGAGATTCGATTTTCGGGGGCCATAGTGCTACCCTGTATGAAAGAAACGATGATCTGGTTCTCTTAAAACAACCCGCACACGAAGACCGTGTCACTACGTTCGTGCAGCAATATCTTCCAGTCCTCTTTTTGGTGCGTACAACCCATTTTTTACTGCCCTAAAACCGAACTGATGGAGTGCGAAGGCAGAGAGAAGAGAGAATGGTATGGCATACGTGCCAGAAAAGAGAATAGCGAGGTTCGTGACGATCGTCAGTGTCATCATCGCAGTCGTCCTGCTCTTCGTCGCAATTCTGGTTCTGTATTATGTCGACAACCCTACAACGAAGCTGATCATGATCGGCGTATTCATGTTATTGTTCGCTGGGAGCGTTAGTATCTTCACTGCTGCGAAGCGATCCGAGGTCTTCGCAGCCACGGCCGCGTAAGTGCAAGGGCCTCCATCTCGTTTTCGACAGCTAATTCTACGTCAGCTACGCAGCGGTGCTTGTGGTGTTCGTAAGTGGGAATCTTGGCTCGAGCAGTTCTGAGGTGCCACGTAAGTAGCTGCGACGGCGGGTGCCTGACTCAGTTCCGCATCACGCATCATGATATTGGGTCGCAACAGCGTCAGTGTTATCTGCATATCCCATCAGTGCACATATGAATTTGTAGGAGGCGGATGTTTTGAAGTGGTGCATTGAACAAAATCCCTCAGTTTGAGTATGAATTAGACGCGGTAGTAGTACAAGGACCTTCCCTACATGATGACGCATGCCATGGCCACCAGGACGTGCACTAGCGCGTCCTGAACGCGTAGGACCCATCCCAGGCTTTCTACTGATCATCAAAACCACGAACATCAATTCTCTTCTGATCTACTCTGAACGCGTATAGCCCATTCTTTTTGCAATTCCATCTGCAATGCCGTCAGCATCTGGTCGCCTATATCCTGCGAGAACTCTTCGCGAAGCCTCGACACGATGTTGTATGCTGCGTTGTGTCGCGGACACATAGATTCGGAAAAGCTACCACCGTCATCATATCTTTCGGTACAATGGAATAATATCGTTGGGTCGAGATGGTTGAAGGGCGAACTGTCTGCATACTTGAGCGATAGGCATTTCGTCAAGATCAGTCTCATACCCTCTACGGACTTTAGGTAGGTTTCGATGGCAGGCTCGAAGCAAAGCGGTCGTTGACGGGCAAATTCTAGTACTAGTCCCGCAATGCCGGCGGCGATAGGAGTGGCACAGGATGTTCCTACCATTCTCTTCCACCCCTCATGTGGATCCTCAGAAGGAAGGTGTGTAGGGTACGCAGACCTTACTGCTTCGCCCAGGGCAGTAAATCTGGCTTTGTGGCTGAGTTGTGGAGGGTTGAACTTGGACGGGTTACCATGAACATCTGCTGCATCGACCGCGATAACTTCCAAAGCTCGAGCTGGATACGACATGCCGGCTTTCGTTCGGATGCCTTCGTTCGAGCTCGCCGCGAAGAGTAGAACATTGCTAGCTCTAGCACGTCTAATCGCCGCTCGAAGTTCGTAATCACTGTCCTCGTTCCAGCCTAGACTCATACTGATGATGTCGACCTTCTTCTTCTCGACAGCGTCATTAATGGCCTCCGCTACGTACTTCCTGTCGATTGCTTCGGTACCTTCGCAGACCCTGTATACATACACGTCTGCGTACGGGCAAACAGTGAGGATCACACCGACAGCATGTGTACCATGGCCTTTGCTGTCACAGTTCCAGGGCAGAGACGGATCTAGCTGCTTTCCTAACTTCACTCGTGGACTCTTCATCAGATGCGGAACTCGGCCCTGGGTAGCGCTCTTAGCCACGCCACTGTCGAGTACAGCGATCTTTACGCGTCGTTCTGTCTTCTTCGCCTTATAAGAGTCGTCCTTGTACCTGTCTAGCAGTACATGTGCATGGTCACGTAGGTCTTCGAACCAACCATCGGCTATGACTTCACTATGCATCGTTAACGAGACGTTCGATGTTTAGGGTACCTCGGGACTCACTCTTGGGCGCTCCAGTTCTGGATTGGCGTACTACTCATTTCGGAAATACTTCTCCTCAATGTGTTTACGGATGAGGCGCGCCTGTGTCTTACGTCTTCTGTCTGCACTACCCGCAAGCCATTTTGGCCTGGTTGGTCGTTGGAACGGATCTTTCTCAATCCATGGAGAGGACCTGGATCATCAAAATCTTGATGCCACCCACCGGGCACGAAGCTGTCCCTTGCATCGGCCTTGGACGTCTCTTGGTGGATGATTGGAACAGATTCAGATCGTACATGAGGCTGAGATTGTGTGTCGAACCATATCTCAGCCTCACGAGTGCTGCTTCCTTGCTCTGGCTCTTTTCTCGACACGAAGGACTCAGAGATCGTTCTGGGCGTGATTGGAACACGCGGCGAAGCTGTTGGAACCAGCAGGTCTACCATCTGTTTGGTCTGCTTCCCTAGCCACGACATTGAGGTGCGAACTATTTGATCTGTCGCAGGTTCGTTGTTTATCCTGCTAGATTGACCTGTGGTTTGCTCGGAATGCGCTCCCGGTGCTGGAGATCGATTACTGCATTCCGGAAGCTGCTCCTTAGCCGAACCCTCGCGCTGCGCGCTCGATGGTGGGTGTGCATCTTCTGCTGGTGACACTGCTCGAAGGGACCTTTCCTTTCCAAGTGTTGTACTTTGCCACTCAACAGCAGAACTAGCGTTGCCCAGCTCTTCATTATGCGCCTCAAGCCCCTTCAGAGCCTTTGCAAGCGCATCCAACTGTTGCAATATGTTCTCCTCACCCGCTGGAATTGCCGGGAGGATACTTTTCCTGGACCCACGGTGAATCTCGGGTGGTGTTTGCTTAGACAATGGCTCTACAGTAGTCTCTCTCTTTCTGGGTTTCACACTCGAACGTGAAGAGTCTTCCCTCGAGGAACTTTGGTTGTGTACAATGATCTCTATCGCAGGAGAAAACGTCACCTTATGTGTCGGACTCGCTTTTGCGCCGCTCACCGGCGTTGAGACCGCCTCAATCTTCGCTGGCTGAGCAGTGGTAGACTTGGGAGGAGTCGAACTTTCGCTTTTACTGGATATCTCGTTCGGCAATACCTCACTCTGGGCTTTGTGTGTTGGTAGAGGTGGATGTTGCGCCACCGGCATCTCGGCTGGATCCGTCTTGGGGCTCTTCTTTTCGACCTTCCGGTGCTCGTCTTTCTTTTGACGATCTTTCTGTGACTCTGGAGGCTGCTTCTCCTGTTGTTTGGCTTGCGGCTTGGGGGCTGAACCTTTTCCAGTCTCCTGTCTCGTTTCTCTGTCTGCACCCAAAGGGTCCTGGGTTTGCGCCACTGGTACATCGGCTGGATCTTTTCTGGGGCTCCTCCTTCCCGCGTTCTCATGGGCATCGTTCTTTTTATGCTCCTTCTGTGGTTCTTGAGGCTGCTTCTCTAGTGATTTGGCTTGCGCTTTGGAAGCTGAGAGCCTTTCAGTGTCTCGTCTCGCTGCTCTGTCTGCACTCAAAAGGTCCTGGGTGTGTGCCACTGGTGCATCGACTGGGTCTTTTCTGGGGCTCCTCCTTCCCGTCTTCTGGTGCTCATCTCTCTCTTTACGCTCTTTTTCTGGTTCTGGAGGCTGCTTCTCCAGTGGTTTGACTTGCGCCTTGGACCCGGAACTTCTTTCGGTCTCCCGTCTCGCTCCTCTGTCTGTACCCGAAGGCTCCCGGGTTTCTTTCTTGTCTGGAGTCTTCTTGTCTTCCTGCTTATTCGTATCTTGCCCACGACTTTTCGGTCGTGTGTTTTCTCCTTCCGGACGCTTCATCGGTTCCTCCCCAGTCTTTTTCCGGTCTGCATTCTTCTTCTGATCCTCATTACGGCGATCTTTCTTCTCCGCTTTCGATGCCTCCGGCTTCTCCAAGGTCTTTTCTTCTCTTGTCCTTGAGCTTTCCGCTGCTGGTTGCTTCGCTGCTGGTTGCTTTGCTGTCTCCTTCCCTTTCCATCTCTTCTCTCTTGCTTCTTGCATTGGGGTTTGCTCGGCTTGATGTATGTCTTTGGCTTTTCTTTTGGCCACCGTTTCTCCATCTCGC